TTTTTTAAGTCCCCCCCCCCCCCCCCCCGGGTGACCTACAGGGACCAACAGTCCCCTAAAATGCCATAGAATCCTCTCTTGACAGTAGGAAGTTTTTCTTTAACGTTCAGCTGAAATCTGCCCTCTTGTATCTTGAGCCTACCAAGGACAGAGCTTACAATTCTCTGGCATAAAGAGTTCGAAAGCAAGCATGGGGCGTTTTTAAACTATTTACGAAATTGTCCTGGAAGGCGGTTCCGAATTCTCCCTTCCCCTGACCCGAACCCCCCCCCCCCCCCCCACGTTGCAGGCATCGACCTGATGGAAATGGGCAGCGTGTTCATGATGATGGAAGGAGATGACACGGCCCGTAAGTCCTGGAACCTCCGCAAGAAGATCCGGGAATATCAGGAGACCTTCACTGTGCTGGAGAAGGTGAGCGGGGGCACTGCTGGGCAGGAGGGGGGGTACAGACCCAGCTTTATCGTTGTCACAGAACCGGCCTCACCAGAGGCTCATATATTCTCTGCCCTTGTAGTGCTCGAAGCCTGTAATTGCTGCTGTCCACGGGGCCTGCATTGGAGGAGGTGAGCCAGTCACGACGCCCGTTCGGCTGTGCTAGTAGCCTGATGTTCTTCCAGAACTTTCCCTCCGGTTTCTCCCCACCCTCCCCATCCACACACACAGCATGATAGGTTTGTGTGGGTTATTGGCCGGGATCAGGTAGGAGGTGAGCCCTTGACCGAAGCCGACACTTCCCTTCTCTCTGTCTCTCTCTGTCTCTCTGTCTCTCTCTCTCTCGTGTCAATACAAAGGAAGGCAGATAAGTGGAGATTTATTTATTTCCATTTTTATCCCGCCTTGCCACAGGGTTGGCTCAAGGCGGCTAACAAAATTAAAACACTAAAACAATAAATAACAGGATCTTTCTCACCCACCCCACCAATGTTCCCTCTAAGCTTTGGAGTACTGTGAGCAAAAACTTCTACTTTGTGAGCTACCGGCATTAAAAGTGGTGAGCGAGCGATTTGGCTCCTGCGTAAGATTAGTCTGCTCTGGAGCCACGTCCTCCCTGAGCTGAGACAAAAAGGTGCAAGCCGGAGGCTAAAAAACTGCGAGCTAGCTCACACTGACTCAGCTTAGAGGGAACAGTGCACCCCACCACCCTCTCAATTTGATGTCGTGGTTACCTGCGCGGACTCTAATCTGGGAGAACCGGGTTTGATTCCCCACTCCTCCACTTGCACCTGGCTGGATGACCTTGGGCAAGCCATAGTTCTGATAAGAGCTGTCCTTTAAAAAAAGCAGTCTCTGTCAGAGCTCTCTCAGCCACACCTACCTCACAGGGTGTCTGTGGTGGGGAGGGGGAAGGGAAAGGAGTTTGTCAGGAGTTTGACACCTTCCGGTAGTGAAGGGCGGGGTATAAATCCAATCTCTTCTTCTCCTCTGCATAATAGCGTTGGGTTTCTCAAGCCAGTTTGAGAGGGTCTCTTTTTCGACCAGACGGAATGTTGGGCCAACTTCCCTCTCTGGTCTCTTCACTTCCCTTGTCTTTCCTTCCAAGAACAAACACCTGCCCCCCTTGGTGGCTCCTACAGCTTCCAGGGATACCACCACAAAGAAATGCACACCTCACACACACACACACCTTTGCCCCCTCAATTTTCATGGAACAAGTTGTCCAGCTGCAGGGGGCAGTGTTGGCACATTTGTGAAAAAAACCCAAATTCTGATGGCTGAAACGTTCTACAAATAATTCTAGATCTTCGCCTTACAAAGATATGGCCTCTGCTCTCTTCTCCCCCCCCCCCCAAGGGAGATAGAAGCAGAACTGTATATGCTAAGGGTGGCCAAACGTGCTCATCGTAAGAACCACGTCAAATAAACGTCAGATGTTTGAGAGCCGCAAGACATGAAAAAGAAGAAGAAGAGATTGGATTTATACCCCGCCCTTCACTACCCAAAGGAGTCTCAGAGCGGCTGACAAACTCCTTTCCCTTCCCCTCCCCACAACAGACACCCTGTGAGGTAGGTGGGGCTGAGAGAGCTCTTGACAGAAACTGCTCTTTTCCAAGAAGAGCTCTTATCAGAACGACGGCTTGCCCAAGGCCATCCAACAGCTGCAAGTGAAGGAGTGGGGAATCAAACCCGGTTCTCCCAGATCAGAGTCCGCACACTTAACCACTACACCAAACAAATATCACCAGGAGTCATTTCCTGCAGGAGCGCACAGGAGCGGAGCTCCGGCGGTAAAGAGCCTAGGGGGCGGGCACATGCAACAAGCCTCACCCCCTGCTCCCAGCAGCCCTCAGTCAGAGCAAGAACCAGCCAGGCAAGTTGCAGAGCCCCCCCCCCCTCCCCCAATAGCTAGCAATCCAAAACAATCCAGTGGAGCCTGAGCGGTGGGTGTTGCCTTCTGACACACTTCCGATGATGTCAGGAGTCGTGGCATCTGCAAATAAGTTATGCTAATGAGTTATGCTAGTGAGCTCCTGCACCTCTTCTTCTACGAAATGACCCTTAGATATCACACACACTTTTTAAAATTAACATTAAATGCGACTGCCAAAAATAAAAACCAAAGGGGTCAAAGATAACTGATAATGATATTTAATTAGTCCAACAATATTTATCTTTTCGCTAATGACATTTGTTTGTCTATAAGAGGGAGAGAAAAAGAGAGAGGTGGAAAGAAAGAATGAAAGAAAAGGAAAGAAAGTGAGAAACGAAGAAAGCAAATAAATGGGAGGGAGGGAGAAAAAGCACGCCTCCCCTTCGCTTCCCCAGTCGCCCTGCTGGGAGCCACACAGTGTTCCCTCTAAGCTGAGTTAGTGTGAGCTAGCTCACAGTTCTTTAGCCTCTGGCTCACACGTTCTTGTCTCAGCTGAGGAAGGATGTGGCTCCAGAGCAAACTGATTTATGCCGTAGCCAAACCGCTCAGAACTTTAATGCTGGTAGCTCACAAAGTAGGATTTTCGTTCACAAGACCCCACAGCTTAGAAGGAGCATTCAGATTCTGTGTAGATTTGAAACCGTTTCTCCCGGCAGCTGCCGGAAATCTTGCTCGGCTGCTCTCTCGGCCTCTTGAGATTTCAGCAGGCACAGAACGCACGTTTTGGGGCATCACTTCTTAAGCTTGAGGACTAGAGCCTTTCTCTGCCTGTTTTAATGTAACGGAGGCTAAGGTTTCCGGGAAGTCAGATTTTGCTCCCAGGATTGTAATCTACCAGTTTGGTGTAGTGGTTAAGTGCGTGGACTCTAATCTGGGAGAACCGGGTTTGATTCCCCACTCCTCCACTTGCAGCCAGCTGGGTGACCTTGGGCCAGTCACAAGTTCTCTCAGAGCTGTTCTCTCAAGAGCAGTTCTCTCAGCGCTCTCTCAGCCCCACCTACCTCACAGGGCGTCTGTTGTGGAGACGGGAAGGGAAAGGAGACTGTAAACTGCTCTGAGATTCCGAGTGAAGGGCGGGGTATAAATCCAATCTCCTCCTCTCCTCTCTCCTCTTCTCTCCTGCGTACCATGGCATATACAAAGGCCTTGGTACAGGAAATGTGAAGAGAAACCTAGTGCTGACGTGGAGGTACAGGATCCCTGGTTGATTTATTTTATTGGTGTATCCCACTGTTCCCCTTAATGAGGATCCAAGGTGACTTGTATAATTCTCTGTCTCAGAAGGAACGGGGGGGGGGGGGAACGGGACACACAGATGTCTTTCCTTGGTGTGAAATTCCCTTAGACCAAATGTTCCATGGAGAGCACCCTGGCGACCAGCCATCGCCACTCATGGAACCTCCTAAGAACATCTAGTCTGACCCACAGAGAAGGTATCCTTCAAGCGCAGGACTAGAGTAATGACAAAGTTAAGAAACTGGAGTCTAAACAGGACTGCCGGTTCTGTTGCCTCTCCAGGTGTGAACCTCGTCTCGGCCTGCGACATTCGCTACTGTACCCAGGACGCCTGGTTCCAGGTGAAGGTACGTGGGCTTTCTTCTGTCTGTCGCCCTGCATGCTCCGCCCCTTGCCCCGTTCAGGAACAGACTCTCATATTCCTAGTCACCTGGATCCAGGGGTCATTTCCTGCAGGAGCGCACAGGAGCGGAGCTCCGGCAGTAAAGAGCCCAGGGGGCGGGCACATGCAACAAGCCCCACCCCCTGCTCCCAGCAGCCCTCAGTCAGAGCAAGAAGCAGGCAGGTAAGCGGCAGAGCCCCCCCTGACCCAAAACAGTCCAGTGGCACCTTTAAGACCAAGTTTTATTCAGGTACAAGCTCTCCCTCCTCTGCGAGGACAGATCTGCATGTTCCCCCCCCCCCAATAGCTAGCAATTCAAAACAGTCCAGTGGAGCCTGAGCAGTGGGTGTTGCCTTCTGACACACTTCCAGTGATGTCAAGGGGTGTGGCATATGTAAATGAGTTATGCTAATGAGCTCCTGCACCTCTTTTTCTATGAAATGACCCCTGCCTGGCTCTGACCTGCCCTGTGACAGTCCCAGGGAATAACTGGAGGGCCCCCGCAGTGGCTACATTGCAGCAGCCAAGCCGGCTTGGGGCTGGTCACCACCTAGATGGGAGAGAGAACATTTGGGAATCCTTTGGAAGCCGTGTTGAGCTCTGTGGCGGAACAAAACCAAGATGAGATGTACCGACAGACCCGCGTGACGTGTTGAGCGTGTTTCCTCTTTTCTTCCAGGAGGTGGACATAGGGCTGGCGGCCGACGTCGGTGTCTTGCAGCGCTTGCCGCATGCCATCGGCAGCCGGAGGTGAGGGCGGGGCTCCGTTTTGGCCCTGCACCCCTTCCCTTCCCTCTCCCAAACAATGGCCGGGGGGTGGTGGCTTGTGGCTTTCCCGGACTTGAGGGGCGGCCGTGTTGCCCAAGTCCTGTGACCGGCTTGTGAAAATGGGGCACCGGGCCCGCTTCGAAGGGACAGGAGTCTCCCGTGAGCTGGGCTGCAAGGGTGTCATGATCTGGGCTGTGCCACCAGAGGCCTACTAGGCCCAGGGAGCCTGGCTAGCAGTAGGTGAGGCTGGGCCTACAACTCCCAGAAGCCCCTGAGAGGTTTTGGAGCCAAAATTGACCAATAGGAAAACAGGAGGGCTTGGAATAAAAGATCTGGAGCAGCAGGGAAAGCTGTTCTTCCCAGGGAACAGGGCCAGCAGAGGCTGCTGTAGGGAAGAGACCCTCATCCTGAGGGAAGGGTAAGTAGTCTAGTGCCACTTGAGATAGTGGGCTAGGGACAGTATATATTTAGACGCGTTAGGGCATTTGATTTCTTTTCACCCGCTTACTGTTATTATTCTGCACCTTGTTTGTTTGACCTCCTATACAATAAAGTATTTCCATTGTTCACTTTGCCTGGTCCTCACGCCTATTATTCGGCCAAACAGGGAGGTCTGAAGGTCTTGGGAGGGTGCTCTGGGCCTTCTCAAGGGATCCTAAATCCAGAGTGGTGGCAGCGTCAGGTGATAGCCCACCTGAGCCGTGACAAAGGGACTGTGGGAAATCAACGCTGTGGGCTTGCAGTGAAGGAACCAATAAACTCCAAAGCCCAAGCTGGGTGTTTTATGAGGCAGGGAGGAAGCCGAATGCCCTCTTTGCCCGTGCCTGAGCTGGCAACTGTCCTTTTGCTCCTCTCTCCAGCCTGGTGAACGAGTTGGCCTTCACGGCCCGGAAGATGATGGCTCCAGAAGCGCAGAGCTCCGGCCTCGTCAGGTGCGTGTGCGGTGTCGGTGCAACTGTGTGTGGTCTGGCGGTGCTTCCTCTTCCTCTTCTGTAGCCCCCTTCCTTTTCATTTGCTGAAGGAGTCGAGTAAGCTAATGGGTCATTAGTGGTGATTAGGAAAAGGGTGGTGAAGAGGACACCGAGGATCGTAAGGCCTGCGTGGTGCGGTGGTTCGAGTAAAATTTTAAAAATTATCAGATGGCATTGTGTGTGGAATAGAAGGATTGTTTGGCTGCCTGAAGCTGTAGCTCTTTTTGGCACCACTAGGTGGCGAGCTGTGCTGATTTTGAGGCTGGGAGTGCTGTGGCTTGCCCAAAGTCACCCAGCTGGCTTCAAGTGGGGAAGCGGAGAATGGACCCCAGTTCTCCAGATCGGAGTCTGCCGCTCTTGACCACTACGCCAAGCTGGCTGCCCAGTGGATAAGAGTATCACTAGGCCTTGGCAGTCCCAGGTTTGAAAAACTCAGCCACGCAACTCACTTTGTAACCGTAGGCCAGTCATTCTGTCGCAGCCTAACCTACCTCGCAGGATTCTTGCGAGGACAAAACGGGGAAGGGAGAACCACGTACCCTGCTCTCAACTCTTTGGAGGGAGGGCAGGATTAGAGATGTAAAATTTCCGGAAATTTTGAAGCTCGGAAAAAACCCTGGGTTTTTTCCGGGTTTTTTCGTGGGGAAACGGGTTTTCCGGAAACATTGAAAAAATGCTACATTCGCATTTTTTTTTTGTCTTTTCTAGATTGAAAGTCATTCTGTTACTTTAGGAACATAAAATATGACTATGGACATTTTTACTTGGCATGAAATTATCACAACTAGCATATTAAAAATAAGTGTATCCAAACAATTATTACAAACAGAATACCCACCCACATGCAAAAACAAAACTGAAACCTTTTTATTGTCTTCTGACAATAGCACCTCCTAAAGGAAGAAATGCATCTTGTTCTTGCATTGGAGAGTTCAGTTTGTAACCTACAGCTTGCTTGTCCTCAGTGCACAGAAATTAGATCAATCTGATACCATATATATATATATTAGAAATGATTTGGAAAATATTTGAACACCTTCTCTTAAAATATTTTATTCATCATGTTAAAATAAAACATTCCATAATAATTATTTTTTTCTATCAAAAAAATTTTTTTCTTTTTTTTTTTTCAATTTTTTTGAAAAAAAAAAAAAAAAAGGCTTTGGGGAAAAAAAGGGGAAAACCCCCCCCCCCCCCCCCCCAATTTTTCTGGTTTTTTTCCGGGCCTTCACATCTCTAGGCAGGATAAAACCGTGTCGCCGGACCATAATTCTACAATGCAGCCACATCCAGAGCATAGAGTGAGTTGGGTGAGGAGCTTAGAACATAAGAACATAAGAGAAGCCATGTTGGATCAGGCCAATGGCCCATCCAGTCCAACACTCTGTCACACAGTGACCAAAAACACCAGGTGCCATCGGGAGGTCCAGCAGTGGGGCCAGGACATTAGAAGCCCTCCCACTATTGCCCCCCCCCCCAAGCACTAAGAATACAGAGCATTTGTCCCAGACATAAGAACACAAGAGAAGCCAATGTTGGATCAGGCCAATGGCCCATCTAGTCCAACACACAGTGGCCAAAAAGACCAGGGGCCATCAGGAGGTCCAGCAGTGGGGCCAGGACACTAGAAGCCCCCCAACTGTTGCCCCCCCCATAAGCACCAAGGATACAGAGCATCACTTGCCCCAGCCTGAGAGTTCCACTGATGGACCTCTGCTCCATATGTTTATCCAATTTTTTTTAATTTTTAAAACTTTATTATTGACAATTACATATTCAAGAATATTCAGTAGAAATTTAAAACATGTAAGAGCAAATGAGTAATATAAATAACGGTATAATGATAACATTGTGAAAAGTAAATGTATTAACAATCAATATATAACCAGTATTATTAAATCAAAGTTAATATATTGGATGTTTATCCAGTCCCCTCTCGAAGCCGCCCATGCTTGTAGCCGCCACCACCTCCTGTGGCAGTGAATTCCATGAGTTAATCACTCTTGGGGTGAAGAAGGACTTCCTTTGATTCGTTCTAACCCGACTGGTTCAGCCATTTCGTGGAGTGCCCACGAGTTCTTGTCTTGCGAAGAAGGGAGAAAAGGACTTCTGGGAAAATTAGGGGGAATTAAAATGTTCGAGGAGCTGTGGTGGCTCAAGTGGTTAAGACGCTGAACTGCAGGCTGTGGAAGGTCAGTAGTTCAGCAGTTCTAGACCCGAGTGTGCCGCATGACGGAGTGAGCTCCCGTCTCTAGTTCCCGCTCCTGCCAACCTAGCAGTTCGAAAGCAAGACATTGCAAGGAGATAAATAGGTACCACTTCAGTGGGAAGGGAACAGCGTTCCGTGTTCCTTGGTGTTTAGTCATGCCGGCCACATGACCACGGAAACGTCTTCGGACAGTGCTGGCTCTTCGGCTTTGAAACGGAGATGAGCACCGCAACCCTAAAGTCGGACTCGACTGGCTTTCGAGCAAGGAAACCGGCTGGAGATCTCCTAAATGTTTGAGGGTAGTTGAAATATTTTCCCTGTTAGGAAAGGCCACAAGTATTGGGGCCTTTTCAGACTTAGGGAGAAAAATAAAACCCCAGTTCCCGTGTAAGATAAAGGTAATGGGAGTGCCCAGTGGAAGCTGGCCTGCACAGAAGCATTCTTAACTTAGGGAACTCGCTGCCACAAGATGTGGTATTGGCCGCTGCCTCCAGAAAAGGATGAGACAGATCAGTGGAATAGCTGACAATGTGAGCGCTGGCTAGGGTTGCCAACCTCCAGGTGGGGGCTGGAGATCTCCTGGGGTTACATCTGACCTCCAGGTGACAGATATTAGTTCCCCTGGAAAAAACGGTGATTTGAAAGTTGGACTCTATGGCATTGTACCCCGTTGAAGTCTCTCCCTTCCCCAAACCCCACCCTCCTCAGGCCCGTCACTGAAAACCTCCCGGTATTTCCCAACCCGGTGCTGGCAACCCTCGCTTTGCCTCCCAAAAGCTCATGCCCTGAAAATCCTGTTGGTCTCTAAGAAGAAGAAGAAGAGATTGGATTTATACCCTGCCCCTCACTACCCGAAGGAGTCTCAGAGCAGCTCACAATCTCTTCCCTTCCCCTCCCCAAAACAGGCACCCTGTGAGGCAGGTGGGGCTGAGGGAGCTGTTTTGAGAACTGCCCTTGTGAGAACAGCTCTGAGAGAACTTGTGACTGACCCAAGGTCACACCAGCAGCTGCATGTGGCGGAAGAGAAGAAGAGATTGGATTTATACCCTGCCCCTCACTACCCGAAGGAGTCTCAGAGCAGCTCACAATTTCCTTTCCCTTCCCCTCCCCAAAACAGGCACCCTGTGAGGCAGGTGGGGCTGAGAGAGCTGTTTTGAGAACTGCCCTTGTGAGAACAGCGCTGAGAGAACTTGTGACTGACCCAAGGTCACACCAGTAGCTGCATGTGGCAGAAGAGAAGAAGAGATTGGATTTATACCCCGCCCTTCACTACCCGAAGGAATCTCAGAGCGGCTTACAATCCCCTTTCCCTTCCCCTCCCCGCAACAGACACCTTGTGAGGCGGGTGGGGCTGAGAGAGCTCTTTCCAGGACTGCCCTTGAAAGAACAGCTCTGAGAGAACTTGTGACTGACCCAAGGTCACACCAGCAGCTGCATGGGAGAGGAGTGGGGAATCAAACCCGGTTCTCCCAGATTAGAGTCCGTGCTCTTAACCACGACACCAAGCTGGTGCTACTGGACTCCGAGGCTTCTGACTGTAAGTCATCTTTAAGGACAGAAGGGTGATCCGTGAATGAATAATCTCCCTGGAAAGTAAACTCCCCTGGGGCCGTTGATAACACAAGTGGCTTCTAGGTTTTCACCTCCTGTGTGAAGGATCTCCGGGAGGCAAACTAATGTCAGAAGCACCCCGGCCTTTCTTTTCCCAGCCGCGTATTCCAAGACAAGGAAGCCATGATGCAGTCCGCCTTCGACTTGGCTGTCGAGATCGCCTCCAAGAGCCCGGTGGCCGTGCAGGGCACCAAAATCAACCTCCTGTATTCCAGGGATCACCCAGTGCCTGACGCCCTGAAATACATGGTGAGTGAGTGGTAAGCGGGGCGGGCGTGCCTTTGGCATCCGGCGTCCCCAGGTAAAGGGACCTCGAGGACCAGGCCTGCGAAAGGCGGTTCTTGGCCCAAGATCCGGGAAGGAGGATGGCAGACATGAGCAAGCGATCCCCGGGCGGGATGGATTCTGTTTGAAGCTGCTGCTTGTAACCGTTACTGTCTTGTTTCCACCTTTGACTCCTTCCTTTCGCAACTGGGGGAAAGTTCACACCTCCTCCTGCCCGTCCTGGATCTCGGCAAAGAAATGTTGTCGACGGCAAGCGTGTTAGCAAAATGTGCCAGAGGTGCTCTAATTTGGGCCTTCTGGGCTGGGAGGTTTCTAGAAAGCTAAGTGTGGAGTTGCTGCGTAGGGCCGATCCACAGAATTTGCCACTTATTTTCTTGGGGGGGGGGCAGCATGGATGGAGGAGGAAGAAGAGATTGGGTTTATACCCCGCCCTTCTCTGGGAGTCTCAGAGCGGCTTACAGTCTCCTTTCCCTCCCCGTCCCCACAACAGATACCCTGTGAGGTAGGTGGGGCTGAGAGAGCTCTTTCGAGGACTGCTCCTGAGAGAACCTGTGACTGACCCAAGGTCACACCAGCAGCTGCGTGTGGAGGAGCAGGGGAATCAAACCCGGTTCTCCCAGATTAGAGTCCACACTCCTAGCCACTACACCAAACTGGCTCTCCCGTTGTCATTGCACCGTAAGCCCCGTGACATACCAAGCTGACTCGCAGGTTCCAGGACACCGATCAGGGTGTGTGTGTCTAGGGAGGGGTTACTTCCTTTTCTGCTTGACTCCTGATGGTTCCCGCTATTTTCCACAGGTGGAATTGAAAGTTCTGCCTGCCTCTGTCTACATGGCTGTCATAGGGCGGGGGTCTCCAACTTGGTGCCCGCCGGCACCATTCCTGGTGCCCACCAAGTGATTTTTTTAAAAGTGGGTGGGGCCAGGTAGGGCTTTTGCCCAGTGAGGGGTCTGATTGGCCACTGGAGATTAGATTGGCTGTGGAGATTTTTGCTTTGGCGGCAGCTGCCACCACAACACAAGGATTGCGGCAGCCATTTTGTGGTTGCGCCGAACACACTGCCATCAGAATTCCAAAGGTGCCCACCGGCTCAGAAACACTGGGGACCTCTGTCATACGGGCTAGGAACTTAACACTTCCTTTCTTTAAAAAAATGAGTGGGTGTGGATCTTGTGGGGTCTTTGGTTTCTGGTCCAAGCGAGGAACACAGCAGACAGAAAAGGGCAAATAGTTAATGTTGTGGGTGCAGCGAACTGGGACAAAAATTGTTCCGCCCCAAACCTGAAAGTTCAGGATCATTGGAAATTTTGGGGTGTGGTTCAGGCAGTGCTGCATCACACGGCATCATCATCGGAACGGGGAACTCGTTGACGTAACTCAGAGATGTGCCAGGCGCCAGAGGCAGTGGCTTGGAAGGGTTGGCTGAAACTGTGAGGTTAAGTCTCGCTGTTGGCTGTTGGGGATTTTGGAAGTGCAGCCTCCATACTAAAGCAACAATCTCACTGCCAAAATCTGGAGGGTAAGGGGACAGGTTGCCTCCTACAGAGTCCAACTTCCTAGAGAGCCAGTTTGGGGTAGTGGTTGGATTCCCCACTCCTCCACATGCAGCTGCTAGCGTGACCTTGGGTCAGTCGCAAGTTCTTTCCGAGCTGTTCTCTCAAGGGCAGTTCTCGAAAGAGCTCTCTCAGCCCCGCCTACCTCACAGGGTGTCTGTTGTGGGGAGGGGAAGGGAAAGGCGTTTGTAAGCCGCTCCGAGACTCCTTCGGGTAGGGAAGGGTGGGATAGAAATCCAATCTCTTATCTCTCTCTCTCTCTCTCTTCCTGCGTGCCCTTTTTGAGAACCTTGCTGGCCTTTGTCCGGCTACTGTAGATAATTAGGAGTCTGATCAGTGCTCCCTCTAAGCTGTGGAGTCTTGTGAGCAAAAAATCCTACCTTGTGAGCTGCTGGCGTTAAAGTCGTGAGCGAGCAGTTTTGGCTGCTGCATACACTAATTGGCTCCGGAGCCCTCCTTCCTGAGCTAAGGCAGAAATGTGTGAGCCGGAGGCTAAAACTCTGCGAGCTAGCTCACACCAACTCAGCTTAGAGGGAACACTGAGTGGTAGGGGAACCATTGCCTGACTCAGCCGAGGGGAAACCCTGGAATCCTTCAAGCGGCTGGGTCCACACAGATACGTCTTGGCCTGGTGCCCAGAAGGCATGAGATCGGGTGCCAGGCAAGTACCCCAAGGGGTGAGGGGGCGGCATTCCCTAGGTAAGAAGCCCTCCCTCTGGTGACCGCCCTCGAGAAGCTCCGGCAGACCCTCCGGAGTTTCGGGGCTGGGGCTCAAGGATCCGGCCTTGTTCTGTCCCCCCAGGCCGCCTGGAACATGAGCATGCTGCAGACGGAGGATATCCTCAAGTCCGCTCAAGCAGCCATAGAGAAGAAGACGCCCAAGGAGCTTGTGTTCTCCAAGCTGTAGCGGCCCCGTCGTCCTAGAGGAGGGCGGCCGGCCCCGGCGGAGAGCGATCGGATCGGCCTGCCGCCCTGAGCACAGACTGGACGCCCGGCCCTTGTGAGAGAAGGGCCTGAAGTGCCTTTCGACAGCTGTGCACGCCGGTAAACAGCTGGACTCTGACTGTGTGAGAGAGGGGGGCCTTCAAGAACGGAGGGGGAGAGGAGGAACAGGGGCCTGGGACAGTGGTCTTTCTCTCTCTTTTTCTTTCTCTCTCTTTCTCCCTTCCTTCCTTTTTTCCTCTCTCTCTCTCTTCCTTCCTTTCTCTCTCCCTTCCTTTCTTCCTTCCTTTCTCTCTCTCTTCCTTCCTTCCTCCCTCCCTCCCT